CCCCCCCCCCCCCCCCGCGCATGCGGCTAGTCAACGGGGCCCCGCAGAGACCCCACACACAGAAGGAAATAATACGTGCCGTCGATTAGTATGTACAGCCACGACATCGGATCCAAACACAATATCACAAGGACACCAACGAAAGAGACGTTCGAATTCGAACTGCAGCGCATTGCACGTACAGTGCGGGACCACATAGATAGTTTACCAGGTCAGGCGTGGAGCGGCGCTCTGTGCTACACACGTCCACCACCATGACCAAGGAACAAAACACAACACACCGCACATCACACAGAAACTCTCGTGGAGTTGGGAAATACGCCAGCGTTCGAGAAGAGAATGCCACATGTGGCACCACAACAAAAAAAAAAATCGATGAGGCATGACGGTGCCTTCGTCTGTGGCGTCGCCGCTACTAATACTGTACGCCGAAAAAATCGTTCTTTGCGCTGGCTGGCCGCCGTATGTACGGCAAAACGGAGGCTTCTCGTTTGGCAGAATTGCCTCAGACTTGAAAATAACAAAGAAATAACGACCATATGGTACACCGTTCACAGAACAATGCTCTGTAGTAGTCGGTTAGAATGGAACACCGAAGCAACTCTCGGAACAGAATAACAATCGGAACAGAACAACAACCCCTCTCACCAAACGACACGCCCTCCAGTAGAAATATCTATCTCCACAAGTGTTGACACATCTCCATCTCTTCCGACAGAAAAATGAAACAAGAAAAGCCGCAAGCCTCGGTCAGAAGCATGCCGGCCATCGATCACACCGATGCTGGCTTGCGAAGATGTAACAAGTCAAAATTTGGGACACAGGAGCACAGGCGAGCCATCCCGGTCTAATCCGATCATATTTCCTCCGGGTTCGCTCTTTCCTCGATGATCGAGACCCCGCCCGCCTGACACCGACTCGGGGGCAGTATAGACACGTGGACAAGGCATTGGTCACCCTTTCACGCACCTGGTTGCTACTGCTTGCGAATACACACACTCATGCCAAAACTCGGAACTGGCCGCTCCCCTCAAACCTCACACAGAGACGGGGGGGTACGCAGAATCACCATCGCGCCGCAGAACCGTAATCCTTGGCCAATAGCATCGCACCAGTCGAAACCGTAAAAAAAAAAAAAGTCAGCCCATCCGGTTCGTCCGAGTGGGCCGCTTTGCCACCGCAGCCACTGCCGCCGCCGCCGCCGGCGGTGGGCGCGAGGTGGTCGCAGCCGCGTAGTCCCCGAGCTTCTGGCTGGCGAACGTGTGCGTCGCCAGCATGATGGCCGCCCCTGGAATCCCGCGCCCGAACGCCACCGGCCAGCCCATGTACAGGCTGCGCGTGCGGTTCGCCCCCGACAAACGGGAACAAAAAAAAAAAAACGGCTGTGATCATGGCATAGATTTTGTGCTGAACAGAGTGGCCGACCCTTATCGGGAGCACCTTCTCCTTGAGGTGGATCAGGACACGAATGTGTTGGTGGTTCGTTCGTTGTCATTGTCGTCTCGATTACTAGGTACCAGGTGAGCTTTTGTGCGTGAATCGCCCAAAGGCGACAGCCCTAGTAGGTAGCCTCGTGCGTGACCTTTGGCGTTTTCAATCATTGCGCCGACTTTTGGCGGCTGCGTTGAAGCCATTTTCGACCATATCCAAGAGTACTCTCAGTCCGCACGGGCGGACAACAAAACCGCATGTGCAATCGGCCCGCACAAAAGCACCTTATTCCATTTTCTTTTCTTACTTTCTCAGTCCGCCCTCTCGAACGAGGCGGGACAGGGTGGCAACGCCTCCGGGGACGACCTCGCCCCGCTTCCGCCCTGCCGCCTGGATTACCGTCTTGGTCATGTCCAAAGGAAGCGCCACTGGTGTGTATTGCGAGGGGGTGCGGTATTCGGGGGTGGGGGAGGGCAAGGTCTCAAAGGTACAAGCGTTCACAGAGGGGGGGGGGGGGGGTCTCAAGGTTGTGCTCGTGTTTTACCACACGTTGTTTGAATCCTAGAAAGGTGTAGTGGGCAGTTGGCTTGTGATCACGGAAGGCGTCCGCGTCAGTTGGGCCAGCATGGGGTGACGACAACAACAACAACAACAACAACAACAACAACAATAACGGGGGGTTTGCAAGGTATTATAGTGTTAGCGTTTCCCGGAAGAATGGGTCTTCAACGACCGCTTTCCAGTGCCGGCGAAGGAAAAACGACGTCCGAGCAGGAAACCCTAGTCTCACCCAGCCAAAAGCAAAGGCCGGCTGTGGAGCCCGCCACCAGCAGGAGATCGAAGTCCGGTGGGCGCTTTCCCGACAACTCGCCGCTGCTGATGATGCTGCTGCCGTACCGACGTTCTGCCAGGGCCTTCTTGACCGTGTCGAACGCCAGGAAGAAGGCGCCCATGCCCAGTGAGTCGCGCGTCAGGGTCACCCTGAGACCCTGCTTCGGCGGTGAAACGAAGGCGCGACGACGCCATGAAGGGAGGTTACGCTGAAGTATTCAATTTGCGACTTTGCAAACATCGCTGCACTTGGATGTTGCTGGTACTGTAAGCACTCAATTTACCGGCACCATAAAGATCGCATTGCTGTACAGTACTGGGCCCGGTTTAGTGCCGGTGTGTGCCCAGAGCGTAAACCGGCACTATAGCGGACACCGGCACTATTGAGGGCATATTGCATTTCATGGTGTGGCACTTACCCTTTGTGGGGCTAACGGAGTACCAAATGGATTGAATCTTATGTAGTGGAGTTGTTAATTGCGCGGCGTGGGCAGTCATTCTTCCGACACGTGGCGTTCTCACCCTGTCGGACACACAGCATTGTTGTTACACAATCTTGGAGTTGCGCCTTTTCTCTCTACCCACCTCAGCACACGTACTGTAAAAATATGTATTACACACCGTGAACCTTTCAAATGTACGCAGAATACCGGCCTGCCATTTTCCAAAGATATGCACCTAACAGCTGCCTACTTTTGTGGACAAGAAGGCAGTGGCACTTGTAGCCTCACCCGAATCAAACCATTTCGGGAACCCTCAACAGCGCTCGTCGACCGCGAAAGGAAAACACACATATGTGCACCCCAATGCACCTTTGGCGTCTAGTCATACTTTTATTTTGAGGACGAAGGTAAATCTCAGTCCTCGTTGCCCTCCTTCGATGTTGCAAAGAAAATCAGACAAAAAATAACAGAGACACGACAACGTTATTATTAGCATTGACCGCGCTAGCCGGCTGACCAATGAAAAGACGTCAGTGTATGTATGTTTGGGCAGGTGAACCGGCACTACTATGGGCTACCCAAACCGGCACTATATCGGGCCCGCTCGGTATAGTGCCAAGCCGGCACCAAACCGGGCGCTGTCTGTGTCCAGAGAATTTACCGGCACTAAACCGGGCCCAGCACTGTATTGCTCTTTGTTTGCCGGTGCGGAATCGCTCCATGCGCGAAATGACCAAGAATAGTGGATGTATTTGTTTTCTTACCACAATTGCCTCGCTGTCGTGCAAGAGTGCTCTCATCATGATGTACCTCGTACTTTCGTATGGGCACACTTTTGTCCTGACGGGTGGGCCATGAGTAGCGCTCCCTTTCGTACTATCTTATTGGGACTGTGGCGCAGCCGCATGGAGCAAAGACCAAAACTTTCAACGCATTACCTGCACGTTGGAAGGTAGGTACGCGTGCCCAAGACAAAACAAGCCCGTTTCTTTTTCCTTTCCTCACGTCGAATCGTCTCTGTCCCCAGGCAACCAACCACCTCTGAACACCATCGCATGTGTCAACCAATGCTCGACAACAATCCATCGCCGTTGTCGTCTCCTCTCACATTTTTCGCTCCCTACAACTCGCCTGCCACATGCCAAACACCCCGTTGCGCCGGACGACCTGGCGAACGCAGTCCAAGGGGCCCCGCAGTCGACCGTCTCCGCCCCCCCCGCCGCCACCCGCCGCAGAGCCGGAACTCCTCGAGCTACCAGCAGTAGCAGAGCTCGCCGGCTTCCGCCCGTGCTGCAGCATGAGCCGGGTCCGCACGAGCTCCACCGGCGTGACAATGAAGGAATTGACCC